TCTGAATGCCCTTCGTTCAGCCTGGAGGAGGCCGGGCCAGCGAAGTGCCGGGCTCTCTCCTCAGCGGCCGCCCTCCGTGCAGGACGAGTTCCACGGGAGACAAGTTCCACGAGAGACAAGTTCCACAGGAGATGTGCCCACGCACAAGCCCCAGCTCACCGGGTGGTTCACCTTCACGGCCACTTGTTCCACCTCTCCCGCTGTGGCACAGGCTGCGAGGCTGCTGCAGCCACCGTGGCAGCATTGGAAACTGATGCTGTCTAATGTCCTCACAAACAGCGGCTGCTGAAGAGGCCTTTTTGGGACAACAGCTCTGCTAACGGGCTCGGCAGCAGTAGTAGCGAGGCTCTGGCACAGGGATGAGATGAATAACCTGATGGCTTAGAGGGCAAAAGATGGTGGCCCAGATGGGTGTATCCTACAAACTGAATGTGGTCGTGGAGCCCCTAGCTGGATCTCGCTAACCACGTTCAAATTAGGACACCAACCCAGATGCTAATTAGCACCCTGCGCTGCAGTTACACCTCCCTCTGGTATTAACACAGTCACTTCTGTGTGGGTGAACATTTAATTTCCCATGAGAAACATTTCTTACAGTTCCTGTCAGGTTTCTGTTATACATGAAGCTTGTTATATCATTAGTGCAGACAGCATATCAAACTGTCGGTGCTACTAGGCAAGCTATCATCTAAGACCGAATTGGGCTAACGTTTATAGTTTGTAACGCTGCTGCCATCAAATTTCCCCCACGGTGTGTTTGCCTGATTTCCCTTGGGTCGCCCAGGGGCAGGGAGTGAAGGAGCCCGCAGCTGCCAGCTCCCCTCGGGAACACAGGCTGCAGCCAGGCAGGGCTAAAGAGATGGGCCGCTGCCTTGTCCTACCTCAGGGTGCCTCAGCCGCAAACCAAAGCCGAAGCTGGGCAGGTGGTTCCAGATCCAGCTGCAGGACCATGCAGAACATTACGGAAGGTTTGGCACTGACCCAGTTATGACCAGGCATTTTTCAGACTCGTGTGGCTGAGGAGGAAACTCCCTGCAGGAACTCTTCATTTGCAAAGTAATTTGTTCAAAGAACACATTGAGAAAAAGTCACCGGTGGTGAAAATCAGGGCACTGATGTGACCTGAGTGGGGAAGTTGGACCCCTTACAGCACGTCTGGCATGAATAAAATGGGAAAAGCTTGATTAAGAGCAAAGACAGACAATAGTGATTGTTTTGCTTCCATTTATTAATGCTTCAAATTAAAACCTACATGTCTGTTTAGTAGGCTTTGGATACAGATTTTAAAGGAACTCGACAGCTCACAAATTATAATAAAAAAGCACTAAACCTCTGATTATTTTTCCGTTGAGGTCATACGGACTCTACATATGCTATGCAGATACTATCCAGTGATGGTTATTTGACCTGCCCCCACCACCCTGGTCTTCAGGGTTCTCAGTTTTATTTCTCATTCGCTCCTGTCTTTGAGCAACTCAAGTTTGCACGTCTCAAGGTTTATTCTATTATTGTAAGGCAACTGCGATGTGAGTACTACTCATCAAACATGGTACCCTTACAGGAGACAACAAAAACAACAACAAAAATACAACAACCAGGAGCAGAATTATAATGGAGTTCGAGTATAATATATTAGCAATAGTTTCATAAATATGTATCTTTTCAATATTTCACCATCAATAATAAAAATATATTTATAGTCTGTCATTTTATAAAGAAGTATTGTGCTAATACTCCAATAATTTAAAAAAAAATATGTATGATTACTGAAAATTTACTTTTTTACCCTCCTTCTCTAGTAGCCACACTGTCTCCCTTGAGATGTGAATATTCTACTAAAGTACAATTCCAAGATTTTGTAATAATTTTTAACATCAAACAATATTAATCGGCATAGACTGTATTAGCTTTTTCACACAAGGCACAACAAATCCAGGTTCACATATTGACTATTCATAAATACAGTATTTCTCACTTAACAGATATGTTGCAAAGCTACAGAAGGGAAAGAATTATGTTCTTCTTTCAAAATGTTCTTTTCAATGCTTTTGTTCTTGAGTTGATTATATAGCCCAGATTTCATTTGTAGATGACCTAAAATCAATAGTCTATGAAGGAATTGTCACGTGGGGAAAAGAGGGTATGAGAGATTGAATACTAAGAAGGCCTTCACCAATTACATATTCAAATCATTCCAGAATTTCAGGAAAACTAGAACTGCGAACTTTGGATTTCTGTATTGGGCTGGCCGTGGGGAAATGTAATTCCATGCGTCTTGTCACTGCTGTTTAATAGAAGATTTACTTACGTCACTTCTTTAAAAACAAAAATAAATAAACTTTTACTGCATTTATAATATTTTAAATTAACCTTTATCTTAAATTCTTTGCCAAAAGGAGTTTTAGTATCTGGACAACAGCCTTTTCTAAAACTGATACCCGTATGTTGAAAAACGTTTAACTGAATTTCAGTTTTGGCAACATTTTCCCACAAATGCCTAGAGGGACCTATGCCTAATTCTGGGCTGTTGGGAACATTTCACCTCTCCTGGATTTGGATGTGCATCCTGCCCGCGTCCCTGTTCTACAGCAGTTTGTGGCTCACACAGGCGCGCATCATCCACCTCTGCTCTGGTTTCCATGGAGAGGATTTCCACCAAAATCCTCTTTTGCTCAGTCTAGTGTTGCTTTACCTTATGCCTTTCTTTTCCAATACTTATTAGTTAGATTTTAATTTCAATTATAGTCACATAAGCCCCAAACAACTCCATTTCATTTCGGTGGAATTATCCTGGATTTACTCTATGATAGCTTTGATCAGAATCTGATCTCTTTTTTTTTTTTTCCTGGACAGACCTGGTTATGTATTTCACATACAAAATACTGGTCTGTCTCACAGAAAAGGTGTAATTCTTCTCTGGCTCCTAGATTCTAGTGTTTTCATAATGTAAAAGCTGTAAAATTTTATCAGTGTGGACCATACGTGCTATAGATGAACATTGTTTCCCAAGTCATGGGAACCAAATAATGTTCTTTTTAAAAAAATGCTAGCAGAGAAAGGAAACAACTGCCAGCATTTACTGCCCTCTTCAGTCTATCGATCTATTGCGTTGTGCTGTTACAGAAAAACTTAATTTCATACTGGTTCTGCTAAAGAGAACGATGCTATCAAAATTTCTGATACTGTAGCTGAGAGTAGGGTCCTGTGGAATGGCTCAGTCACCTGCTCGAATGTTACTTGCTTTTGCCAGATTAATTTGTCATCCCTTGCTTCATCTGTTACCCGTGAAATCAATTCCTTAAAGAAATAGTAATCAGCTTTTCCATCTGGGTGGATAACATAGCCTCTGGCCAGCCTCGTACGAGGGCGGTATGCCATTGCCTTCCCTTGTCGCATAGCTTGGCCTGCTGGAAATGCAGAGTGTATGAGGGCGGTATGCCATTGCCTTCCCTAGTCGCATAGCTTGGCCTGCTGGAAATGCAGAGCTTGGTCAGTTTTTCCTAAGTGTCAGGACTCATGCACATCTCTTACGTACCACTTGCACACACATGGATACTAACTCT